CATAGCAAAAATTGAGCTCTAACATTGCATAGCTCCAGAATTTACTTGTCCTTCCTTAGTTATTTGACCTGAAAGCGTTACCCCTTTCAGCCTTCAGAAAGCTCCACAAAGAATTTCAAAGGGAGGCTCTTGCCAGAGTTGAAGAGCTGCGGAGGGAGGTAGGCAGACACTAGCTCACCTCCACCCCGAATGGCTCCCAGCACAGCACTGGCCTTGACTCCTGATGGGAGATTGCCAGGGACATGGGCCTGGACCCGGTGGGAGAGTGACTTTATGAGTGATATTGGTACAAAGCACATTAGTCTGCTGTGCTAATTAATTACTAACTACACCTCCTGAGGCAAGTGAATCAGCAGAGAGTATATAATTAAACCGAAGATTGTTTTTGATATATTTTAAACATTCTTCTAGAATTCTCCACCTGGAAGAAAGAAAGAGGGCAGTGATGATGAAAGGTAGCGAACGGTTCATGAGAACACAGTATCATTTTAACGCTACTGCTACCTGCTACCATCACATTTCAGCACAGAGCTATTTAAAATGTTGACAAGAATGGCCTTTTTTTTTCTTTCCTCTTGCCATGAAAAATGAAGTAATGACCCCAAAGCATTGTTCAAATGAAGGCCTTAAGTGGTCTTAGAAGAAAGAAACAAAGCCTAAAACATCAGAGAGACAAGAAATATGTGCTCAGTGTTTATGTATTGAAGTGCTTCTCGTGTACCTGGCAAAGAAGTTGAGCAACAGGTTCCCAAGAAGTCTCCCTTGTGCTGTCCAGGCAGGCACGGACTTACTGGTGAGGTCAGCTGCAGTTGCCTTTTTGCGGTGCTCCTCAATAAATCCTCTCTTAATTAGACTCTCTTCTGGCTAACTTGCAGCTCTAAAGCTGGTAGGAATTTTAATTGGTTTAGCCTCTTTTGAGTGAGGGTTGCATTAAATGTATCCATACATCCTGCCTTGCCATTTGATGATGGATCTGTCTGATCTGCAGGACCAGCAGAGGAAACATAGGAATGACCAACTCAGCATACAACAAGTCAAGGCTGGGAGATGCCCAAGGCTGGTAGAGCTTCCCCAGTTAAGATTGGACACGTTGAAACTGTTCCTGGTATCAGTATATTATTTATTACTCCTCAGTATACTCCTCAGTATACTCTGACAGTGGCCTTGGCTCTTATTCAAGGCTGAGCGACTCAGCTCGGCACCAGGCACCCCAATGGGACATTCACCATCCCCTGCAGGAGAGGCAGAATCAGTCGGTGGCAGACATTTGGCCATATAAGCCTGTTTTTCCCTTTAGCTTTGAGCCATGCCCGGCTCTATACATGCTGCCTGTCTTTGCAATGGATGCTTAATGCAGCTCAGAACAGTGAACCCTTATGGGTGCGGAGCCATGTGGAATCACAGATATGGTGGGGGGGACAGGGGAGGGAAATGTCTGACCCAGGGACTCCTTTTTTTCCCCTCTCAGTTATAACAGAGTCTCCAGCCAGGCTGACAACACGGTGGGGTTTGTGCTGCTGAAGCAAAGGACCAGCGTGGTGGCGAGGGTGAGGATGAAGCTGAGGGGAGCCTGCAGGACTCTGGAGAGTGGTGCCACAGCTCTGCATGCTGTCTCTGCTATGCTTCCCAAAACATGCCACCTCCCGTCCACAGTTTTGGGGGGAAACAGCTATGGCAGCTAAGGCAAGACCCCTCTACCTTCTCTCTCAATAGCCCAGTCAGTCTAGCATATGCTCCCTTCTGGGCAGACAAAACACGGTTACTAAACAGTAAACCCACATTCCCAATCTGTATGTTAGGGAACTATGTTATCCGAAAGGCACAACAGAACAAATCTGATGTAAACATTGCACAGGCTAGAAATGCTGCAGTGATTAAAAGACAATCTCCAACATTCATGCCTAATGCTGACCTTGGACTTCTGCCAGCAAAAACAAGGTAAATCCATTACAGAGCTTTACAGGCAGAAAAGGTTTTCACTCAAGTACTTAGACGTTTTGCCCATAGTCAGCCTGCTCTGCAGTACTGCCCGTTACATCCCCACCTATTTGCCTCGGCAGCAGGAGAGAACTGCATTAACGCTGCCCTTTCTCACAAACTCTCCTACTGGTGCCTTTGTCTGGATGGTGATAGCTGAAGTAGCAAGATACCTCCTTGTGTCAGCTGCCATAGGACAACACCCACGCTGCCACAGATTACATCTTTGAATTTCCTTCCATCCCTTTTTCTTATAATTCTGCAGCCTTGGGGGGCCGCAAAGAGGAGTTGCTTGGTTGGTGTTAATGCCATGGTATAAATCTCTTCTCACTCAGTGAGATCAAAATTAGGCTATTTGGGGCCAAATTCTTTTACCAGCGTAAATTGGCAGGGCTTCATTGCCTTCTGTAAACGAAGATGGCCATTTGCATTTATAACATCAGATGGGTGGCTAATTGCTTGGCATTCCTTGAAGATATGAACAGATGGCAGCATAACTGATTATTATTATTCATCTCAGCTGCTCTCAGGAGAGAAGTAGCAGATTTTTGCATCCACTCCTGTTATGTACTTGGGCAGTGCAGTTTTCTGGTCCTGAGCTTCTGAGGATGGCTGAGGCAGAGGACAGCTTTCCTTTCAGTGAGGAGAGCAAGATTACTCCATTGTTGATGTACAGCATCCAGGCCAGTGGTGCAACATCACAGTACCCAAAGATACTATCACCTCAAAAATCCCAGTGTTTCTCTCGAATCTGGTGGTCTCATTTTTGACCACTTCAATTTCCAGACCAAGCTTACTTGTGGCCAGCTCATACCACATTTGTTCTCATGCTAACACTGCTCTTTAGTTCCAATCAACCTGATTCCCTTGTGCTCTTCACTAGGTGAACAAGCAAAATTTATTTAGTCTCTTCCCATTAAACAAACTCTTCAGTCCCCGACATCTGCATGCCTTGCTGAGTCCTTCTCACTTGGCATCCTCTATTATGTGGATGGAAGTCTCACGAAGGCTTGTGCAATGCCATTAAGTGTTCCTTGGCTTTTACAAAGCCACATCATACTGAGGAGCTGTTCCCAGCTAATCCTCTCAGGTCCTGCTGCTCCTCTTATTCCCAACTTATGAGCTTCCCATTTACAGCAATGCCCCACAACCGTGCATACTGGACCTACCGAAGTGCATCCCACTTCTGCCACCACCGTTAGTCTCCCTGGTTGTTACTGCCAGAAACAGCCAGCTTCACAAACTGCAGACCACCTGCATGTCCTTCACAAGTGTCGCTTGCCACCACTCCTGCTTCTTATCCAGGAATACTCCCAAAAACACTCAGTGAAAGCATACGCAAGACCAGCTTCTGAATTCCCCTTCTAGCCTTCTCGCAGCACCTCTCATCTACCAGTTTGGTCCTGAAGTACTGAGATTCTCTTTTGCTTTCCTTGCTGAACAGTGTATCACAGAAACATCAGGCCAGGCCAGCACACCTGCTTTTCACCCTACTGAATTTTTTTTTTATTCCCGTTTACGTTTGAATGTGTTCTTTCTTTTAAAATTTCTTCTTTTCCACCTTGAATCAAGACACAAGGGTGTGTTCCTCTGGCCAGACTGTGCCCAGTTTGCTCTGTGGGAGGCATCAATACTGAAGTTCAGTGCGGCAGTCCTTTCCACATGTGCAGAGATCCTGGGGTACTAAGCTGTCCAACTTCTGCTTTTGCTGCAGATGGCAACATTTCTGCTTCTGTGCAGCCCCTTTTTCTCCTGCCTTCCCTCTTATCGGGGCCCTAGCATTTCATCCCAAGCTTGCAGACAGCAGTCCCGGGGGAGGAAAGGTGGAGTACACCGAGCTGTTGTTATTCTCATCTGCATGGGGAGGTGCTGTGAAATATTTACTACATAATGTGGTCCCAGTGTGGGACCACAGCGTGGAGCGGGGCTGGTGACCTGAATGTTTTTCCCACCAAGGTAGACTGCCATTTCCTTACTACCAGTTTCTGGCAGCATAAACATATGTCACATTTTTGATGATTCAGCCAATACCAGAGCCCACCGGGCAAGGAGTTTTTATTAAGGACATGGATGAATAAAGAGGGATACCTGCAAACCTTCCGAATGACAGGAACAGAATACAATCACTTATAACACTGCTTAGAAACCTATAACCTAGATCAAGGGGAAGAAAATAACTTGTTTTTTTAAACTCCTGAAACAAAGCAACTCCAAACTGATGCTTTATGTTCACCAATTCTAAAAGCTTAGGAGGTCAGAAAATGCTGGAAATAAAATTAAGCTCAATTTTGTCAGAGAAATGGAACTGTTTTGCCTGACAAATCTGTAACTCATAATCAGTTTAAGTCACAGAAGTCAGCATGATTTGCATTGCAATTGCGTATTTCTTGCAGTATGTATTGCCAAATTACATTCCGCAGCCTCCGATATTTTCAATAGTTTTCAGGCAAAATGGCCTTTTTTTTTTTTTTTTAAACCTGGACATTTCTTCCAACTGCTGTTCTTCCTAGACATACTTGCTATTCATGGCACACTGTTTCAAATTTTTAAAACTTAAAAGCCAACTCCAACTGTGCCACAGGAAAGGACAGTGTGCTGTGAAATGCACCCGACCCAACTTGCTAATGGCCACCAGAAGCATGCTTGCAGTTTCACAGCACAGCATGCCCTCACAGTGGTAAGCAGTGCAGCAGAGGCAGCAATCTCCAGGTTCAGGGGACTGCAAGAAACAATTTGCACCTTGTTTACACACTAAATATCCGTGTCTCTGTATGGGTGGCTTAAACCACTCTGCATTATTTCTGCTTTTAGCTTTTAAAAATACAAACAGATGTGTTCAGAACCCCTGCTAAACCTTCCTTGAAATGTAAATCTCTCAGTATAAATGTTAAATAGAGCTTTCAGCAATGAGCATGGAGAAAAAAATATCGTCATGCCTAGGACGCAACAGAAAGCCACCCCACTGTACTCTGGGTTCAAAAATCTCTAAGTTGCACTTCATAAAGACACATTTTAATAAATTAACATTTATTGAAAATATCACATCAACCTTTATTTTGCTCATTTGCCCCAGTGCAAAATTAAGCTATTTAACATGTAAATTGTAATAACAGAAGTGCAAGCAGTTTCATAAAATGAAAGACCAAATACACTTATAATATGATCAGACTCTTTAATCTGGTGGATAAGGAACAGTGGGATGGAAGGGAATAATCTGTTTTAGGGTCTGATACACAACTTATCTTGTTTTAACACATATATCTGTTATTAAAAGCCACTGTTTAGCAGTATAACATGCATCTAAAAATTGACAATATGGGGCATCATCCATTAAATATACTATCTGTAGACAAGAATCATTAGGATGGGAAAAGGATTAAAATAAAAGGAAAGCACCAAGGCTCCACGGCCCTCCTAGAACAAAGTATTTTGCAGGGAGAGTGTAATGCCATTTGTCAGTGCTCTACTGCGACATGCCATAAGGACTAGCATTTGGTCCATTTCCGGCATGTTCGCTGTAGAAATGCACTTCTTTGGAAAAGCAACCATCAAGGCTTTGCAAATGCAGGGTTACTTCAGACACCCAGCTTATTGGCCTGGGTGAGGACAACTTTCAGAACAGGCATGAAAGCAGAGGTCTCGCTGAAGTTGCTGGTGCTGACTATGTGCGTGTGGATGTTCAGTCCTTCCTGGTAGTTGCGGGTTTCGATGCTCTTCACAATGTTGTGCAAACCGCTAATGATGGTTGGAGAGAGCTGCAAGGAAGCCAGGCAAGGCAGGTCAGCAGAAAGAAAAAAAAGCACATACACTAGTGCTACAAAAACAGAAATCCTGAGTGTAACATTTGGCCCTCAGGAAGGTGCAGCAATTAGTTCCTTTCTTTGAAGATAGCCATCTTCAGAGCTTGCACCACACTAGGAACAGTCACTGAGAAGTCTAACAGCAGACTTCAGCCAGAATGTACCTTCTCTGCAGTACTGCAAAGCCCTGCAAGCCTTCACTGCCAGCCCCTGGATGCAATTCCCTGAGGTGGGAGACCTGCTGTGACAGACTGTGGCACATGAAATCCTACTGAGCTTTTATGCCTTTGGGGTAAAGTTAATAGCTCACCAAAGATGGCCTGACAATGACAGTAATCCTGACCACTCTAATCCTAAGGTACTAAGAGATCTAAGCCCAGTCCTTTATTCTGCCACAGACCTCCTGGAAGGCTTTGGAATAATTACCAGATCTTCAAAAGTACTTGCACATCTGCCTTCCAGTGAAGTCAGTGATCCTCCAACATCTAAATCTTCTGGGTGTTTTTTGACCCCAGGCTGTGTGTGTCTCAATTCCTAGTAGGAGTGGGGGAACTTGCTGTGTTGGCTCATTCTGCCAGCAGCTGGGGACAGGGACCCTCCGGACACATTCACCCAGTGCCTACTGCAAGAAGCTCTGCTCTTTGGCTCAGCACAGTCCCTGCACAGCACATAAAACTCATGACATGACCCCAAAACACTGTAAAGTCTGCACAGGCACTGGGGGCCAAGCACTCTACCTAGCCATTTCTGGGAAATGCAAGGAAACATACAATAAATGGATTTGAAGCACGCTTCCAAAGAAAGAACAAGCACCTGCTACATACTGCAGAGGGGTCCACACCACCAATGAAGTTCTTGGCCATACCTGCAATATTTGATTGGGGGGGGGAGGGAAGTAAAACAGAACTTACTGTCTGTTCTCTAAGTTTGTCATATAGAAACTCCAGGCGTTTATTTGCATCATCTAGTTTCCTCTTGGTTTGCTGCAAGAGAAATAAATACATTAAAACACAGTGATTTTAAGAACACCATACTGATCTGATACCATTGCAAAGAGGTCCACACAGCACATGAAATTCCTTTCTCAACAACATCTTCCTAACACGTTATTTGAATTCTTTGCTCTGTACTTTTCTCCCCTGATTTTGCTAGGAAAGACCATGTGATATGACTGTAGTTCTCCACATGTAACCGCTCTAGTTAGCTACAGAGAATAGTAAACTGTAGAGGTGCATCCCAAAGGCCACTGGTCATTTGCAAAACCCACTTGTATAGCTGATATGGAAAGTGACAGAATTCTGAGTTGCAGCATGAATTTTTTTTTTCTGTGGTTCACTGGCAAAGCATAATGACAGCTGGATAAAGTTATTACTGGAATCAAGGATCCAGCAATGTCAATGAGAGCTTAAGGGCACTACTGAAGTCTAAGTACGTGCAACTCAGTCATCATTTATGGCAAATCCTAATTATATTTTTCATTATGTTATTAGTAAAACCAGGAGCTTGATGTAAGTTTTTACTGTCAACAGAAAAACTAATAGCCTAACCCAAACTGTCCTTACAGATCCTTTGTGCTTTCATGATTTTATATAGAGTAAACCACACCAGCTGCTGGAGAAATATTTTTATCCACTCTTTTTTTTTTTAAACAAACAGCTACAGAAATTGAAGATTTTAATCCAGAATAGTAAAAGAGTAATAAAGCATCAAGGTTACAATTACAGAAGCACAAAAAAGAAGGTGGTCAACAGCAGTAGAAATGGCATCAGTGCACAACAGTAATGGAACTTCCTCCTAAATCAGTATGCACATCAATCCATCTTCACTTAGGATAGTGCCATTTCCCCTGGCAACTGGAAAAGTTTCCCTGGATTAAATAACTGCCCAGAGAGAAAATAACAAAGCCTATGGGAATGCTCTAGCTCAGGGATCAAGACAGACTGGTGGCTGCCTGCTGTGCTACAAATTAGGGAAAGCTGTTCGGATGGCAAATGGCATAAAGGAGAACATAGCATGTGGGTCTCAGGCTGTGCATGGAAAACCCCTCAGCACTAGTTATGTTGTCAAGGAACTGAGACAAGTAAGGAAAAAGTACCCCAGGACGAACAGGTAAGAAACTGGCTAATTCTTTTGGACTGGCTAACTCTCTCAGATACACAACTTCGGAAAATTTGTTTCAAAACCTGTGAAAAGGCATACATGCTATTTTCATTTTACAAATGGCCAACTAGGGCAAAGAGGAATAAATTGTGTTTAGTAAATAGCAAGACATCTCTCCAGCCAAAGGAAATCAGGTGGAAGAAGTGCAAACTGGTTGTTCTCCTCACTCTTTGCTTCCTGTTCCCATCCCTTCGGAATGTAGTAACTGAGTAGTGTTTGCGTTTGTTCTGACAATACCTGTTGTATACAGTCAGGACAGTGTCTCTCAGCACTGTGTGCCGGAAATGCTTACTCTGCTTAAGAAAATCAGAGAATTAACAAGAAGCAAGCAAAACGTGTTGGCAGAGCAGAAAAGCAATCCCTGGATAGAGATGTGAATTGTATGCTTTTGCCTTATGCGTCTGGGAGAAGGGGCACTCAGAGGAAGAAAAGGTCAAAGGGTACGTGCAGTATACAATTTCTATCCCTGCACTCTACAGCCTAACCTTTAAAGAAAGGATTTTGAGCAATCAAATGCTACTGAACCTTATGAGGTCTGTCCAAAGAAAGGTATATGGCCTTGAAAAGCTTCTGTAAAGGAGTGTGTGGGCAAGTCCACCCTGAAACTGCTGGGCTGAGACCCACAGGGGAAAGGAGTACATACATGCAAATACCAAGTCTAAGCTACAGAGCCAGCTGAAGTTGTGCAGCGGACATAAGACAGAAGTGACGCTGGACACCAATATACTCCCACAGTCACTGCCACAGAGCCCTCAGACAGCTTAGCTCCCAGTCACCATAGCAGGAGCACAAGTCTGTGCTGCTCACCAAGCACATTTAGTGCACAAAGCCCTCTGCACACCACCAGCCTGTCTTTCATCATCCACCTTTCAGCATGCACGAGCTGAACAGTCAGTATCTGGGCTTTGGGGTAGCATGTTATTTACTGACCACTGGAAATAAATGAGAAGCTTTGAGATGGATGGCTCGTTTACAAAGTACTGCCTGCCACAGGAAATGTTTTTCCTATCCAGCTCCAGTGGTCGTGTTAAAGCTCATAACCGCCCACTTCTCTGCTATCCATTGTTTCCTTTTGAAATGAGTTTATCAGAAATCACAAACCACAGATCAAAATCTGAGGCATGTACTCACATATGTGAGCCTTGGCTCAGACCTGGCATAATACCAGCTGCTTCCTGCTCTAAATTATAAGAAGCAGTTAAGCAAATGTACAGGGCATGCCTCCACAGTGATCACCTGACAGAAGGAAGGACAACACTTTCTGAAGGTTTTAGAATTATTATTTTTTTTTTTTAACCATCAACATCAAAACCTCAACTGTAACCAATTCCAACCCTCCTCCTTAGGAGAAAGCAGCAGAGGGGGCTGCAATGGGTTAATTCCCTGGCCATAAACAGCACCATTGTGCTCTGCCCATGCTGAGGGCTCTAAGGACCAGAGTCAAAGTGCTCAGGCAGCTGGGCTGTGCTATGGTCCCGTACTGCCACATCCTATGTGCATATGGCTTTTCTATGCATTGCTTGAGGCTGCTCGAAGCAGCCTTTAGAAGGAAAAAGCTATCTCAGGAGAGACTGCAATGGCTACCTGTGTTACAGGTACCAGTGCATTCACCCAAACACAGGGGTACTCTGGGAACACCACAGAGACCTACCGGATCAGAGGCAGACAGCAGGCATCTCTGGATAAGAGCTTCAAACGTGGTCTTCAGAATAAGGTGCTCCTCAGGGATGGGCTTCTTGGTAATCTTCTCTGTTGGCAGTGCCTGCACATGCTGAGAAACAGAGAGCAGGTGAGGCTTTTCCAGGCCTCTATGACCACATGTTGTTTTCAACTAAACCAAGTGGCATTATTAGCCAGCTTGGCACAACTCCTATTTCTTCCCTGTGGGTGTGTGGAGGTGACATTATCAGCATCTGCTGTCACTTCCTCTGGAGAGCTGTGAAGTTGCAGAAGCAGCTTGTTGGTCCATAATGACTAGAGTATTAACTGCAAAGAGGTAGTGTCTAGGTGGAGATTACAGCAGCAAAATGCCAACATGGTGAAAAGCTAGTGACTAAAAACTCTGCAGTACACTTTGGAGGTACAAGAAATGCCTGGCCAACAGGATCCCAGCCTGCAAGGCTCCGCTGATGTACAAACCAAAACTGTGCAATGCTGGGGTTATGTTACCTGGATGGCATTGCCAATTGGGGCCCCAGGGGCCCCTTCCGTGCTGGGTTTGGAAACAGTGGGTGGCATGATGCATGATCCCAGGGGCTGGGGAGCAGGCGGGTAGCCACCCTGCAGCACCGGCTGCCCTGCAGGGAGGTGCACAGGCTGGAAGCTGGGTGTGCCCATGGGTGGTGCCGAAGCTGGAGGCTGCTGCACCTGAGATTGTGGATCCACCAGCGGGTTCATGATGGGGGAGGTGATGGGAACCGGGGGCAGGAAGTTATCAGGGACCTGGGGAAAAAAAAAACAAACAGTGCATTTACGCTGCTGTGGCTGCCGCAGGCAGAGCACAACACCCAGCTCCTACAGACTTCCCAACCTGCAGCAATTGAGAGCTCTGCCAAGCAGAGCGCTGAGCCCCCAGCATATAGAAATAACTGGGGCAGGCAACACAGGATTTCACTCTGGCTAAACAAACCCATTCCTCTGGCTGCAGCTGCACAGTAAGAAGTGCCCTGGGGCAGTAATATCCTCCAGCATTTCCAGTCCTGTGTGCTCTGCCTGCCCTCTGCACGCACAGGGCAGGAGCAGTCTGCCCCAGCCTGCTCCTGGCCACAAGAGCTGAGTACAGCCACCTCAAATCAGAGCCACTCTCCCTCTGCTAAGGGCACAAAACAGAGGTTTGGCAGACCAGCACTAACAGAAGAATAGTTGCACTAATGAAAACTAACTTAGACATACATCTATTCTTACTATTGGGTCATCATATTTAGATTTTTTTGTCTCACTTTCAAGGGTACATTTTTGTCCATGCAGTACATAGGTCACTGCTAGTAACATGCACCAATAAAGCTTCTGAAAGCCTTTCAAGCTTCTGGCAAACAGGTTTGCACTAAGACAGATTATGAGCACATTTCAGATTCATCCCTAAGCATCTGCCAGTCTACACATCTACACAGGGGCGTTTCGGAAACATTTGGTACAAGGAAGAAACAACAAAATGAGCTACTGACCTTGGCTACACATCATACAGGAATCCAAACAAAAGAAAGAGCTCACATGGAAATGTGCACATTTCTTTGGGTGTGCATGGAAAAAGGAAAGATTACAGAACCCTGAAGGCTACCCTGAATGAATTATGCCAGAATTAAGCTAGTGATTTGGGACAGCAAGAAAAATATTTCCAAGCCAGCACCAAAGTCAGTTACAAAAAAGCAATGAATCACAGCAATAAAGTTTTGAGTGGTGAATAAGTTCTTAGTGAGGTGGAAAACAGTTGCAAATTACACTGAGGCCAGACTGTTCTTCTATTTTACAATAGCCCATGTGGTGAGTCATTTTATAATATCCTAAACCAGCCCCTCATACAGTGGACATAAGGGAAACAAACATAGAAACACTTCTGACAGAAGTTTGTTAAATACCCAACAGGGAATGCAACAAACATGACTCCTCATTTAGAAGGGAGCCAACCCTCAAGCCTTGGCTATGGCAGAAATTCTGGCTGTGATGCACACACACACAGCAGTAGCAAAAACCCTGTCTGCAAAAGGCTGCTTCTTGAGCTCTCAGGTCCAGCAGTTATTCTCACTGACAACTTTCCTCCTTCTACTTAAGACTTGCCTGAAGCCCCGAAAGGCAGCATGCCGGCTGCTGTGCAACAAACATCCCAGCACTGGGGCAGTCAGGAGCACACAAAGCATCCCCTATCCATCCTCCACAAAAGCTGCTTAATCTTGAACTGCAGAGACCAAAACCCAGAGGGTAAGGGAGACTTCTGCCTTCACCTTCACCCAGACTTTATCTTGCCTGTTCCAACTTTTTTTTTTTCTCCCCACACTTTACGCATCCCAAACTGACTCTTGCTTCCCAAATGCACCAGACTCAGAGAGCAGCAGATGACACTGACTGCTGTGGAGATATGCAAGACGACAGCAGCACCAGGGGATCAGAAGGCTCACTCTGCTCTGTGCCAAGTGTTCCCAGTTATTCTGTCCTGCTGCAATCTAAACCCGTTTTACAAAACTACATTGTCTCCATCACAAAAATTGTCTTACTCTCAGCAGATCTCTCAGGGTCAGACCCTTAATCAGGATAAATTGCTTTCAGCTCCAGCAAAGTTAGTTTGCTCCGGCAAAATCTATAACAATTTGCATGGCCTCATCATTTCGCATAAGTTTCATCTCCTGCAAAACTCATCTGCTTTACTGCAGATGAAAACAGTCCGAGGTATTTTCTTCCCTCAAACCAGGGAATTGTGGCGTTATTAACAATCACAACTTTAGCAAAAAGCCACCATCTCTTTAGAGGCTTAAATATTTTGAGAGAGATGATGCATATTGGAGAGATATAAAGGCCATTTCTGCTCATGAGGTGCAGCTTTTGTTTGCTGCTAACCCTTCTTCTTCCTTCTCCTGCCAAGAAGTTTCCCAGGAGCAGCTTAAGTTACTGCTTTTCAAGTGGTCTGCACTCAGTTGTGTCAAGACAGGATTTCCTACAGTACCTTCTTCTTGGCAGCTCTGTTCAGGGCGGGAGGGTCGTTCCAGCCATTCTGAGGCCCTGGGACAGAAAGAAAACAGAGACTGTAAATACCTTGGAGGAGGGCAGTGATGCCTTCTTGAGCTCAGCTGGGCCAGCTCCCCACCATGGTTCTACTGGCAGGGACTTGGCAGAGCCTGCCCTCACCTGCCTGTTCCTCTGCCCTTCACTAGGGGCCATAACAGCTTCTGCGCCAGCCAGAGCCTCCCAACACCCCAGCCATCAGACCCCTTTGGGCTCTGCACCCACTGCACAGGTGTGGCATCTTGACCAACTGTTCTCAAGTTTGACAGAAGTTGACTCCTTTTACAGTTAACTTTTTCTTCTCTTGCAGGAAAAAAACCTTTGAGCAGACACACCCTTTGAAAAGGCAGGCAGTTGCCTACCATGCCCAAAACACAGCCCTGCTACACAGACTGTATGTGTGAAGCCAGCTTCAGTTACCAGTGAAAGTTTCTCCCATCTTATCATATGAGAAGAAATGAGAACCGGTTTTGAACTTTTTCCATGATCACTGTGACATTATAAACATTAATCAGCAGCAGAGATGCCAGAAACCATGGGTGAATAAGAACACCATTAAGATGCATCCATTTCCCAAGAGCTGCTGCTGTGATTGCGTACCGTGATGGATTTATACATGACAGTTAAGACATGTTCCCCAGCAACATAACACAGAAAGAAGAGGCATAAGAGGCAACAGGAGCCTTAAACATTTCAGGCCAGATTCACCCAGCCGCCCTGGAGAGACAAAAGAGCCATAAAACCAGGTTTCCCCTGCCAGCTACAGCATGTTTATGGGTGCTTTGTGTCCCAAAAGCAAAGCAGAGCTGCTGGAGCAAGGTGGCAAAACCTAGCTTTTTGCACCAAGGGCAATTTGTTTGAAATTGAAAGAAGCACAGAGGATGTCTGAGCAGATTCACTCCGAGTCAGGGCTGTTGTTCTGTACCAAACCTTCTGCTCTTACAAGAAAGCACGCTCTGTGCAGCTGCAAGATTTATACACCAAAGCTCACATTAGTGCATTAGAAATAGTTCCCCATCTCATCACGGAGCGCATATGATCAGGACCACAGCATTGTATCTCAGCATTACCATGGCCTTGCCGAGTAATCAGGATTTATTGCATAAAGCCACAAAAAGCCAACAAAACCAAATCCCTGCTCAATGGACTTTTTCACCACAGTGTTTTTCACTTAGCAGATGATGAATTCACCTTAGACAGCAGAACTTAACATCACTGCAGAATTTGCTCAATTTATCTGAAATTTCATTTGCTCCTGAGCTTTTGTTAAACAAGTTCCACATCCAGAGCATGTTAAAGGGGTAAATGAAAAACAACTTAAAACCCTTTTCACAGCTGCTTTCTCTTTAACCAAAGGCAGTGCCATCTCCCGACAGCCATGTGCCCCAGGGGCTCCTCTGTTCCTCCCTATCCAGAAAACCCCAGAGTACTTCTGATATAGGAAGTCTAATTTCTGCAGTGCTGACAGTGGTAACATGTTAAGAAAATCCCCCAGACTGTTACTGCTGTTAATTTCCTGGAATAATTTGCTTTAAAAAAGGAAAACCAGCATTTGTTTCTGTGGTTAAAAACTCCAGATATGTTGTTATTGGTTTTAATTAAGGAATTAAAAATTGATTTGATTAAAGTCTAATTGGCAAACAGCATCGCACTTAATGTTCTCTGAAGAACATATGCATTATTGATGTCTGTTCAATTAATTTCATGAAGTGGCTATAATTATTCTAAGGTTAGGTGGTACCTAGTTCACCTGCAAAGGGAGAGGCCTGGTCTTGAGTTGGTAGGCTTTCTGCAGATAAAATGCAAAGAGAACTAAAAAAAGATTTTCTTAGAAAATAATAAAACAATTGGTCTGTAATTTTTGATTAGCTATTTAGTTTCAATAAGCATGAGAAGTCAGGAGAAAAAACACCTAACCTAATTACAATGCCAGTTTAGAGACAAGTCATTTGTCCAAACCACCCTGTGGAACTGCTTTTGTCTGCCTTCCCTGAAAACAAGCCTGTTGCTCTTTTCATGCAGTAAATCCGTGTTTCTAGTTGTTTCTAACAAATGTTGCTGAGTTCTGGCCCACTTTCTTCTCCCTTCCAGTGTTCTCATTTTCTATTCCTACCAGCCAGTGCAGCCGACGGACCATTACTCTTAGCAACAATCTTCTCACCATCATTTTACCATTCCAGAGAGCTTTTCAGGAGATGCTTAAAGTACTTGACTTCAAGGTGGATGTCAAGTATTTTCTCAAATCAAGGCATGCTCTCAACTGCATCCAGCCCAGCAAAAGAACATATGTTCACACAGCAGTTTTACACCTGTGTGAAAAGACACGTTGCCTGCTCAGACTGAGCAACAAATCCAAATGGCAAAACACAGCCAATAAAGCCTTCGTCATTTCGAAGAGAAGAGGATGACATAACTCCTGTCCCTGGGGTTGGTCTGATGCGCTTATAGTTCTAGTGCAAACCCTTCCCTTAGCTCAGAATTGCTCTATTACAATTTCAAACAAGATTGAAGACTCTGAAAATTAAAACTCCCTTGAGCAGGTCCAAGCAGGTCCAAAGATCTATCACAAAACAAAGTGAGATAGGTTGAAAATGAAATTAAATGTGGGCTTTTCTTGCTTACCGGAGCTCCAAGCACAGCTTAACATACTGATGTTATACACATTTGCAAAAAATAGAAGATATTTCTAGAACTGTTTCTTTTTAAGTGCATCTTTAAATCCAAGCCAGTTCAAAGGTCAGGTACTCTTCAAGACTTCAAATTTGAGATCTTCTTTACTTCTTCCCCTACCCCCTCCTTTAAATTAATCACATTTGCAAAGTGAAATATGATGTTCCCAGATTAGATTATCACCACACACGACAGCACACCACTTCAAAGCCAAGATCAGCATCACTATATGCTCTGCACTGGAACATTCAGAGTTACAGGTGAGATCTACTTCTGGCTGCAGATTTCTGTGGTTCTATGGGATCTCATGCCAAGGCGTCCTTCACTAAGCAATGCAGCTACTCTGGAAAATATGTTGGTGGTTAAGCATATTAAGCATGTACATTGTAATTTCTGCATTTACAAAGCAAGTTTTTTTTTCTTCTTTTTTATATGTTTTTTGAAAGGCGTAATCTAAAAATTGGAAGAGGACAGACTGTGCTCTTCAGATACCTCTTATCTTTTTTCCATAGTTCTCCAGCTGCAGGCAGCAGTTGCGTGCCAGCAGCCCACATGCATGAGCCACCTGGCCTCGGCACCTCACTGTGCCCTGGAGTCCACCTCTGCATTTCAGTCCAAGGCTGGCGTTTGCCAGGAATCAAGAGATGATGCCCGAGTTTGGGTTCCTGAAGGTTTGACACTTTGTACTGGCTGCCTTCTCACCACAGCTGCTGGGAAAAACACAAGCAGCACCAATAGTTCTCAGAAAGTTTTATAAAAAGCCTAGTATGGACAACTTTTAATTTTGAAAGAAAATCTGGCAAGGCAATGCGGGTAACGTCTGCTTCAATTCCCCTTATATTAAAATGACATAGGCAAGATGTATTAGACTACTGTCTATGTGGATTAGACAATTTTAGAAATCGACCGGTATTGTCATTACTGTCCCTAATTTCTATCGTCCAGAGTACAGAGCTTCACCCGCTCTGAGTGTGCCACATGGACTATGTCACTTCACTGTTAATGCAAGAAACTTAGCAAGTGACAGATCTGAAGTGCCTGCCAGTGACGCGAGTAGTAAAATGGATAAGAAAGAACAATTTTCTTGTTCCTTGCATTTATTTGGAGGTGCAGAAGCTACGTTGTCTGCATTATAACGTGCTGCTTCACATCCCAGGCCTAGAACCCTATCCAACACCTCTTCCTCTGTCCAATTTAATAATTCCTCTGGCTTAGAGATGCAAGTTTGACATGCCCCATAACATGGGGCCAGGAGAGGTCACGGTACAGCATCTCCAAGAACAGAGAGGACACTGAACCTGGCTGCAGGATGGAGGGAAAAGGCCTCTTCTCCCCTTGCAGCCCTGGTGGCTGCCCTACACCAGTCCTCTCTGGTTTTTGACAGAGAAAAAGACCATTTCTCTCCAAAACACAAGTGTGTGTGTGAAGGCAATGCTGTGAGAGGTGTGGGCTCCCAGCCTCACGGACACCAGGAGCACCTACTCATAGGACTGCTGCTGCCAAGACAAAGGCAATATGCCTTTTCTGCACTGCATCACCCCTAACAGACTTTTAAAAGAAGACAGGGAGTCACAGTGGGGTCCCCTTAAGGCCTGTCATCAGAATCAGCATCCCTGGAACACCCCTCATATCCTGCCTAATATTCCCTCTACTCCCTACTTCCCAGATCTGGTCTTTGACTCTCCAGCTGGACCACCTGGATGTGAAGTATGTTTATGGACAGGTTTAGAAAAGGACCACTCATACTTCCTGCACAGTCTGATGTATGCAAAGCTGTTGTTTCACAGGCTGCTAAATGAAGAGACAGGTTTGTTATCACAAGGTCACTGTCCCACAGCAAACAGTTACATCCAGGCAGTCACAAAGAGACATTGAGCCCCACGTCAGTGCGTGCTCTCTCACCATGCATGCTCAAACATGTGTCAGCCACACACATATGCTTTTGATCAGCATTCAGGAAAGAGACATGTAAAAGCATTTCTAAATCACTTCTGATTATCTTTTAAGGCACTCACAGCTACAGTAAATCCCACTGCACTAAGTGATTATGAAAAAAATAATGGAAGTGAGCTGATGCCACAGGAAATGCTGTTTGAATTAAATATGCTGCCAATCCCAGGCTTGAAATGCTGCTCACAAACCAGGGACAAATTACATTTGCAAAGTTGTTCTGTGAGAAGAATTGGGATCAACTCTGCAGCAATTAGGAAAACTTGCTCATTTTTGTATTTTGCTCTCCAGCCACATAGCAGGTTTTGACACCAGCCCCACAAGGTTAAAACTGTGCCACCATCCATCCACAGTATATGACAGCCTCATAATAAGACAATGCTGTAGCACCCTGTCTTGGAGAAAACAAAAGCTCTGTGTGGTAAGGTCTGACTCGCAAGAGAAAGATGACTGCTCATGCTGCTTAGCAAGCACCTACTGCAGCAACATAGCCGTATCATTGCCAGATGCACAGGGAAGATGATGCATTTTAGAAATGCTTTGAATTGACCTCTAAGCACAAGCAAACTTTGTATGGAGCATTCACAAGGAAAAGGTGCACATTTAACTGAGTGAGTAATAAAGCAAAACCCTCCCCCTCCCTGCCTGCCCCCCTGTCCAAGCGCAGACCTGTTCTCTGGGATGCAGGAAGGTCACTGGTTGCAGGCAGAGTACCTGTTGGTCCAGTAGGTAATGCATAAGCCACAGAAGTTGCTGGAGGTCCTGGCCTGCCATGCTGAAAGGATGCGCCAGAAGGAGGAAGAGGGAAGGAAGAGATGGGATTCAGGCTCGTTGGAGAGGGTTGAGGCTGCCCAGGGTACAGCGGGGAGGGCATGGAGTGGGTAGGGGCAGAGGGCAGGTAGGGAGAGGTGGTATTAGGGGCAGGGTTCGGGTAAGAGGCTGAAGCAGGGACAGTGACAGGCTGCTGAGGCTGATAGAGAGCTGGTCCCCCTGTTCCACAAGAGTACTGCTGTGTGGCCTGATACGCTACAAACAGGGAGAAAAGACATTCAGTCAGTGAATTCATAACAGAAGAGCAAGTTTCATCTGCCTCTGCTTCCTTCTCCACCTAACTCTCCTCTCTTCCTGCCCCTTCCCCCTCAAACCGCTTACCTGCCCAGCCAAATCCTGGCTCCCACAACTCTGCCTGCACTTGCAGGACTGCTCAAAACCTCAGCCTGCCACTGGGAACGGGAAGTCAGAGATAGGACTGCCTTGGCTGTAAGGACACCCGTTCTCCCCCACAGACTCTCCTGCCCAGAGCCACCATGCCACTCAGGGTGGGGCTGGGGCACATGGACGCTGCTGGTCTGGCTGTTTTCTGGACCACTGCAATCCTCACGGTGCCTCTCAGGGAAGGGAAACCCCTGCCGCAGGTTTGCACAAAGGGAAAGCCTATTCCAAGGAAGTGAACAGCAGTCTCTAGAAGTGAATGCAAGCTCAGTCTTTCACTGTGGGCCCTGCAGCTTAACTTCACTGCCTCTTCTCTGCTCATTTTTTCCTCCCTGATGCCTGTACTTTCAGTGCCCTGCTTTGAGTGTGTCAGTGCTCTGCCCCCTTCCTCACCCACCTCTACTACTGCCCTCGTCTCCTCATCCTCCTTCCCATCTTCACAGAGTCCCAGTGAGAACTGGATGGCCCAGCTGCACACAGATGAGTTGGGTCCCTCTTTGCCAGGCTCATGCTGCTTCTCCAGGACTCACACTGGGGGGTTTCTGACCCCGGCACACCCTTGGGAAGGGCCAGCTGAGGAGTGGGTCTATGAGCTGTGTGCAGACACCTTCTCGGCAGAGGAGATGGTGTCCGACAAATGATGCCTGATGGCTGGACCACACCAAGAAATGACAATCCTCAGATGTCATCTCAGGAGATTTTTTTCCCTCCAAGAAATGTGGGACTGGCTCAGTCTGAACCCTCCCAACCCCAAGGAGGGGACTGGCTATCCCCAAGTAAATGCAGCATCATCATCTGGATGGCCCACCTGTGTGGGAGAGAGAGGGGAGCTGCTGCTACTCACTCTGCGGGTACGTTGGCCGGGCCCCTGCTTGTGAGTACATGCTGTAATTGGAAGATGTGGCTTGCTGCGGTGGCATGCTGGGGTTAATGGCACCTGGCATGATAAACCCTGGAGGAGGTGGGTTGTCTCCCTGTAAAAAAAGATTGCAGGAAAAAGGGTAGGGGGAGATAGGATTTAGTCAGCAACGGTAATGCAGTGCTGAAGCAGAACTGTAACAAAATGATCAGTTCACATTTCAAGGCCTGAAACCACATTCCCTGGCTGGAAGAGCCACCAGCACAGGGGCAAATGCCGTCAACCACCCCAGTGCCTTAGGGCGCCCAGCGTAACACGGAAAGCACAGCCTGTATGTGCAGTGACTTCAGCAGCAGCAGAGCAGCACATAACCTTCCTGGACAAGGAGGAGGTCCTTGCCAGCACTGCCTATTATTCAGGCAGTCCAAGTGCACCCTGCCATCCACAGCTTTCAACTAAACAACTTAAATGTTAACTCTGAAGTTTCTAATTTCCATGGGAAAGAGGTAAAGGAAAAATATCATCACACTTCAAATATTCCAGTGTGGGGCAAGGGCTGGGGGGCTTAGGTCACACTGAGCTCCCACTCAAGGCTTTCCAGAGCCACTCATCTGGGTGTTGGTGGAAAAAAAGTAACATGAGACACAGAGGAGGAAAACCAGCGCACACGTGGAAGCTGCTCCTTTTGCCTATCCGTACCAGACTGTGTCAAGCACACAGACTACACCAGGGGACTACAGCACGGGCTCAGAGAGGAATAATGAAGGTTATACCTGTGTGTCAGAGGGACAGCCTGCAGGAGGATGGCTGGGAAGGGCAGTAGGAGTTTTGTTACTCCAGGTAGTGACAGTAGGGGCAATTCTAACCTGAATCGAACAAAGAAATACCAATCATGGAAAACAAAACAATAAAAAAGTCTAAAGGGTTTCACAAAACGAGATGCAAAGAAGTGAACACAGAAAGGTTTGCATGCTGGCACTTGTGACACAGCCATAAAATCTCAGAGGAAGAAGGAAAAGTGCATTCAAGACAGACGAAATCACTGTGCACTGGAGCCAAAGTGAATTGCAGAGTGAAGACAAAGCACAGTGGAGACGCAGCTACAACAGGCTGTGGAGCGAGTGCAGTGTTACATGTGCCAGTAAGCCAGGTGTGCCTCTTTCATCACATTTTCCTACTGCAGAAGCTCCCCCCAGGCTACTGCATGACACCGAGCATCACTAACCACAGCTTGGAAGTTCCCAAGTTCCGTGTTAAATTCAAACATACTGCCTCACACAAAAGCAGTCTGTTTAAATTGAGCTTAAGATGAATTAAAAAAGGTTAAAATCTGATATTCAGCTCTTGCACATGCACAAACATACACCTTAATGCTAATTGCTTCCCAGCCAGTCTCCCACAGCTCCTTTCCTCTATCTTCCTTCTTTGCCACTCCAAAGCCCTTCAGTTCCATATGACCAGTACTACCTTTCTGACAGGACAGAAACCAAGAACATCCTATGCCTGTGATGTCCCTGAGCAAGGAGAGGGTATGCTGCCCAGCAGTGGGTTGCACAGCCTGGGTCAGGAGCCCAACACCCCAACTGAGTGCAGGCAGAGGGAAAGCTGCGGCCCTGAAGTCCTGGCTGGCTCAACTGCCTTCAGTCTATTGGTCTCTAACCCTGTGCAGTGCTGGGCTAATGGTGCAGTCAGCCATACAACAACCACTGTTAATGTCTGCATAACTCATCACTGGAGTCATATAAAAGACTTTTCCATCCCCTTTTGTGCCTGTTCTTTTCAGATGAAAAAGAGGGTTCAAAAACCTATGTTGAAAGGAAACTAAGTTTTAAGTACATGTTCCTATTTGGGACAGCAATTAAACAAAGGCTGCCTCAAGCCTGAACAAGCCCTACGTACACACTTTCTTAAAAGGAAGTCAAACAAAACAAAGTATCCTGAGACTCAAATATGTCATTTCTTTCTGTTCTGGTTCGTCAGTGTACTGCTGGGCACCTTTAACATGGC